GTGTGTGTGTGTGTGTGTGTGTGGTGTTGGGGGGTGCCTAAAATGAGGTTCAACAGACAGTGAGTTTATCAGCACACTCTGATTTAACTCATTCCAAGTGGAAAAATCAGAATTTACTCATAAACTCTGGGTTACTGAACTCCAGTTTAAACTTTGATTCAAGTTCAAAGTTGGACTGACATCAAGTTTATTCTGTTTTATATAAATGTGCAATGAAGATGCTTTTTACCGTGCACCCAGAGAGGAACTTGAACTGTATAATGATGGAAATCTAAAACCTGGCTTCATTTAAAGCTGAATCATATTTTAAAGATCAAAATGTTTTGTAAATTAAAGACAAATTATATTGTGAAAAAATCTGAGTTATAAAATGGTTAAAAGCTGATTTTGATTGTGAATAGACAGAAATGTGATTGAATGTTAAATTGCATCATAATTAAATGTTGCATTGAACTGTGATTAAAATTCATTCAGATTTGGATTAAAGTTAAACTAAATGACTAAAGGTTACTGTGTTTCAATAAAGAAAGTTAGGAAAAGTTRCATCTATTTTAAATATGTTGTAAATATTTTATCACCAGCAGAATCAGTGTATCTGATAAATCAGAATAAATAAATCTACCAGGGAATGTGGTGTATTTTCAATTACACAGTAAAATATTTGAGTTCCTCAAAACCTGACACTTGTTCTTCTCTGTTCAGACTGCAGACAGGACGTTCCCCACCCAGACCTCCAGCCTGCCGCACCCCTACTCTGTCCATCTCTCCWTCCCCCTCCTGCTCCTCCTCTCTCTCTCAGTCAACATTTCATGAGCTGACAGCCAATAACGTCATCATCCTGGAGCCCAATTCATCCACAAACCGCCTCTTCCCCTCTGGTACTGGTGGTCTCTGTAACTGGCCCACTAGTCTTTACTCTGCGTCCCCGGCTAACGTGGTAGTGGTGGAAACCTCCAACCTGATCATTCGCAGTGCTTCTGAGTTCTGTCTGAGCTCAGTGCCTGCATCTGCTGAAAGGCAGGAGAGCACCTTCACATCCAACCCATTCTTCAAGCTGCGCTCCATAAGCAGCCAGTCACTGGTGGAGCAAGAGATTCAAATGGTGAGGCAGAGAGAGGAGGAATGGAGGAGGCAGCGGGAGGAGATGTGGAGGAAACAAAAAAGAGAGGARGAGTGGAGGAGAGGGAGAGAGAGATACGACACTGTGCTGGTGTCCCCGGCCCTGAGTGATAATATCAGTTTCAGTGGTGAGTAACATCCATGTAGTATAAATACTTCAGGCCAAAGGCTCATCACATCATCTGTAACCTAAAGCCTGWCACTTCACCGTAATGGGCTTTTACATTTTAAATCTCACAACAAATTAAATCCCAATTACTGATTTGGTTTCCTTGATTTCTCCAACAGTGCCAGAGGTTCCACACAGATGTGTCTCCTCTCCRTCGTCCCCGTCCAGGCCCCGCAAAATACAACGATCCAGTTTGTCATGTGACCACAAGGTGGGTTCTCACACACTCATACAGAAAACATACAGGTTGTTCTCAGGGACAAGTTGCCTTTTGCAGCTTGGTGCCTTGTTGTCTGTAAGATCTGGGTGCTGCTGCCATTCCAAAACTAGTTACAGAGTGACTGTAGTGACTTTACACATGTCCATAGTTACATAGAGTTACATAGAGTTACACAGAGTTACACAGAGTTACATAGAGTGACTGTAGTGATGTTACACATGTCCAGAGTTACATAGAGTTATACAGAGTTGCATAGAGTTCCACAGAGATACATAGAGTGACTGTAGTGACGTTACACATGTCCAGAGTACATAGAGTTACATAGAGCTACACATATCCAGAGTTACATAGAGTTACTCAGAGTTACATAGAGTTACATAGAGTGACTGTAGTGACGTTACACATGTCCAGAGTACATAGAGTTACATAGAGCTACACATGTCCAGAGTTACATAGAGTTACTCAGAGTTACATAGAGTTACATAGAGTGACTGTAGTGATGTTACATGTATCCAGAGTTACATAGAGTTACATAGAATTACAGTTACATAGACTTACATAGAGTTACATAGAATTACACAGAGTTACATAGAGTTACATAGAGTGACTGTAGTAATGTTACACATGTTCAGAGTTACATAGAGTTACATAGAATTACACAGAGTTACATTGAGTTACATAGAGTGACTGTGGTGACGTTACACATGTCCAGAGTTACATAGAATTACATAGAGCTACACATGTCCAGAGTTACATTGAGTTACACAGAGTTATATAGAGTTACATAGAGTTACATAGATTTACACAGAGTTACATAGAGTTACATAGAGTGACTGTGGTGACGTTACACATGTCCAGAGTTACATAGAGTTACATAGAGCTACACAT